AAACCTAAATCAGGAGCACACGGTCATTATTTGTGCTTTTTCTTCCCTTCAACACCTGTTTATCATCTGAACTTTGAGCCGTACCAATCACTGATCCAAGTCCAAATGATAATGAAAATTGATTTTGATCTTTACGTGCAGTTCTGGACTCTCGGTCCAAATCAAATAACCCCCTGTACATTTGTATTGTTAGTGTCACTCAGCACTTTTTGGAAGGTTTGGATCATGTCCTCCCTACAGTTAATTGTATATCATTTGTCTTTAATTATATGCAGGTGATGGACACTAATTAGAGTTTCACCCAAGCACATTCAAAGAAACATTAGGGCTCCTGTAATGTCCCTATCTGTGAGCCACAGCGTTCAGGTTCAAGTTCCACCTGCCTCAAGTGTGTCGTAACATGTCCAAACAAGTTGACTGAAAATAATTATAAAGAAACATGGTTTTGTGGCAGTGGTAGTGTCCCTACCTATGGGCTAGAAGGTGCTTCAAGTCCTACCTCAGTATGCAATGGCCATGGAGATATGCAATAACATGTCCAAAAAGGTTGATTTAAATATATAAATTTTTAAAAAAATTCCCTTTAAAGGAGTGTCACACTTTTTGATTTGGTTAATTTCAATTGATGGGATTATTTTGATTTTTATTTCAAATGAGTATAAAGAAACATTTACTGAAAATTCTAGTGTGGCTGAGTCAGGAGGAGTACACTTGTAACATTCCACTCTGTAAATAAATATAAGCCTGAGTAAAAATTGGTTGCTGTGTTCTACTACAGAAAGCCAGTGAAAGTACTGGAGCCAATCTTTACTCCCCCAAATATTATCCTTCTCCCCAACAAAAACATGTTAGTAGACACAATTCTTTCCTTGTATTACAGCTGCTCAACCCACCAATGTTGTTTTAAATGGCTTTGAAGATCAGGATAATTTCTTCTAGTTTCCAGTCACCTGAAGCAGCTCCAGGCTTTATAAAAGTCTGAAAAATCTTAACCAAAGCCTCACCTATTTCCTCTGTGAATTCCTGGAGGATTCTAGGGTGTGTCCCTTCCAATCCAGGTGTCACAGAGTCATCTTATTGCTGCCAATGTTCCCCAAGAAAATTATCCCCAAATCTCAAGATACGTGAGGCAGACAATTACATTGTTTGGATTAAACGCTCAAAACCCCTCAAAAATGCCGCAGAGATTTACTGTCTTTCTCGTAATTTTACGAACACACTAGTGCCTGACATAATCAGACAACATACAAGAAAAACTGTAGGGCGCACCCTTACGAGGAACAAGCACACTTCGGATGAACATCAAGTTTTATGGGTTTTCTTTTTGGCAGCAATGAATGCTGCCAAGAGGCAGGTCTGTGCTAGTCCATGATTTTTTTAAACATAGATTTGCATTGTGGTTCAGTGGGTATCTATTCGACAGCTTTTTAATTGTGCTATTTCCTGCTCCTCCACCCAACCACCCCAATAATGCTTTTGTGGCCCAACTACATTTTAAAATAACTAGCTTGCTGCCTCCTTAGCTCAATGGGTGAAGGCAGCAAATACATCAAAAGTCTATCCCTTCCCCTCAACCCCATCCTAGAGCTGAGCTCAGGTAGGACAGCAGCAGTGTGACGGGAATAGTCAGAAAGCTCTGCTACCAGATGGGTTTTCTCTGGACACCACAGTTAGAAAGTGAATGCAGGAGGACAGCCCTGGCTTTGGCAGTGATCCTGTCTGTGATTGAATATCCTGGGCTCAGCTATAGCTTGGTTAGTAGCACTGTTCTCTGAGTTAGGAGATTGTGGGTTCAAGTCCCAGACCAGATACCTGAGGATGTAAATATAAGTTGACTCACCCGTACAGTACTAAGGATGTTCTATATTGCTGGAAATGCTGGTTTTCAGAAGAGATGTTAAATTGAGATCTTACCTGCTCTCTCAGGTCAACGTAAAAGACCCATAGCTTCTATCCCATAGAAAGGCAGGGATGATCTCAGTCTCCTGGTCAATTTTTCCTTCAACTAATGTCTTATCTAGCCATTGTCACATTGCTGTTGTGGGATCACACTGTGTACAATTGGCTGTCGTGGTACCTATTGTACAACAGTGGCTACATTTCAAAAGCACTTCATTAGTTGTCATGTGTTTGGGAGTGCCCTGAGATCATGAAAGATGTGATGTAAATGCATTGCTTGTGCTCACTCTGAAGAGTGGCCATTTTGGAAACATGGTTGAGGATGTTCAGTCGATATTCCAATGAACTTTACACACAATGTGGGAGAGAAAAATGGACAATAAGGGCTGTGGAGGGAAATGCATTTAGTTCAAGCCTCACTGTTGACTATAAGACTCTGGGCTGGATTTGACATTTGAAGGCACAGTGCCTCTGTTGAATATTGGGCATGTGTAGCTTTTGGACAAGGACAGAATTAGGACTGGTACAGATGCCTCCCATTGCAGGTTGACAGTCGTTGCTGAAGCTCAAGTGATGAACTGCCACTTCAATCTTGTGTGGTATTGAAGCTTTGAGGAAAGGAGGGGGAGTTTGTAACATTCTCTAAAGAGAAAAGTAAAGTTTCTCCCAGGGATTTCAGTCTGTTTTATTTGATGCAAGTGTGGTGGAGCTGCAAAGTGGCCAAATCTGGGAATTGGCACTATTTATCCTTCATGTTTTGATTACACTTACGGATAACACAGAACAATGTTATCTCTGCATGCAAATCTACCTTATCAGTTCTACCCGTAAGTCAAGCCAACAGTGTTTACCATATATAGTTTCACATTCGAGTTGAGCAGGTGAATGATGAGCCAAATTTTGAAATCACAATACCATAATTGATTGGAAGGTTTTCATGCTATGTCATGTTTCAAATATTGTGGCATTAACCACCAATGTACCTGTTCATCTTTTATGGTCAGGACCTACTGATTAAGGTTAGTTTATATTGAACTGGATGCCATTCACTCCATCGAGCCTGTTCTGCCATTTTGTTTGCCATCTTTTAATGACAAATTCTTTTAATCACAATTTCCTATCCTTCTTCCATATCTTGTATCCTTCTGTCCCAAGCAAACATTTTAATTTGGAACACCTCCATTGACCTGACATTTAAGATTTTCCAGGCCAGTGCATTCCACATTCTTGAGCTCTTTCTGTGAATTAGTTTCTTGTGCATTCACTTTTAGCCAGATCAGCTTAAATTCAAAGATTGTTATCCTTTATTTTGGGTCCCCTTACTTGAGGGAACAATCATTTCCTCTACCAACAATTGTTAGTTTCCTTTATTCATGTAAATACCTCAATTATTCCTTAGTCTCCTCATCTCCAAGGAATAGAACCCAAATGTACCCAACTTCTCACTGTGATTTTTTTGCAAATGACATTAACAACGCACCTTCAGAAAGTTGCATTAGTTTTGGGGGGAATGGAACAGATGCTCCAAGGGTTAGATTACCTGGAAAGATAATCCAAACTAAGGCTGTTTGGTGAGGAATTTGGAAGATAAACAATTGTTTAACTTAAAATGTTCAAGATATTGAGGGAGATGTGAGGTTAGATAGAAACGATTTCTACTGGTTGGGGTCCAGGACTAGGCGCCGTAGCCTAAAAATTACAGCCAGGCGAATCACAAGTCCAGTTCGGAATTACTGTTACCCATGCAGCCTTGTAGACTAATGGAATCTCTTCTACAAATGGTTGTCCAAATTGGATAACGTATTAATTTTAAATCTGTGAGATTGATTGATTTTTGATAACTAAAGGCAATAAGAGAGATGGGGCCACAGCAGGTTGATGGAATTAGCCATGGTCGTATTGATTGAATGGCGGTACAAGCTCAAGAGCTGCTTCCTGTTATGATGTGAAATGCTGAGTCATTGCTGGACTTTGTCCAAGACCTGCACATCCTTTCTAAGGTGGGACACCCAGAATAGAACACAGTATTCTAAGTGAGGTCTGATGAGCACTCTGTTTAATTGTAGTAGTACTGGCTTGCTTTTTATATTCTGTATGTAGCTTTTGTGATGAAGCCCAGTGTCTCATTAGCAGTTTGATTGCTTGTTCCAGGTACCTAATGTCTGCCGCCCATATTCTAATTCACAACAAAATCCTGTTCACCTGTCAACCTTTGCTCACTGTTACATTAGCTCCTGGTTGAGCATTGTCTCAATTTAAAAATCCTGTCCTTGGTCCTCCTTAACTCTGCTCTTCTACATCATAACTCTCTGAGATCTCTGAAACCTCCAATTCAGGGCTGTTGCACATGCCTGATTTACATCTCTTCGCTTTTGGTGGCTATGTCTTTAGCTGCCTGGGCACCAAGTTCTGAAATTCCCTCCTAAAACTCTCCACCTCACTTTTTCTTCCTTGGAAAAGTACCTCTTTGACCAAGGCCATCTGCCCTAACAAAAGCAGAAATTGCAGGAGAGACTTAGCAGGTCTGGCAGCATCTGTGGAGAGAAAATAGAGTTAATTTTTGGGTCCACCTTCTGTTTTCTCTCCACAGATGCTGCCAGACCTGCTGAGGTTCTCCAAGAATTTCTGTTTTTGATTTGGATTTCCAGCATCCGCAGTTCTTTGTTTTTATACCTGCCCTAACATCTTATATGGTTTGGTGTCAAATTATTTTCAATGATCACTCCTGTGAAATGCCTCATGACATTTTATAATGTTACAGTGCTAAACAAATATAAATTGTTGTTCCTGCTGCAGTGGGTCAGAGGATAAGAAGTTGCTGTTCTGTGTCTGCAAAAATATTCTAGATACTCAAATTTAGTACATTATAGCTTGTCTTACACCATGCACTGTGAACTGAAATGAGAAACCACCTCAGTAGCGGAGCAAAATCAGGAATGGAGGATGGAGGAACTGGTATTTGTACTTTCTCAAAACAGAAGCTTTACCTAATAGGTGTATGCTGCCTCTAGGATTGAACAAAAAGACAGCAAGAAACTGTGAATTAATTGGTGAATGGAAACTCTTGTTTACTGAAAGTATCTCTGTTTGTGTTTTTTCAGTGTGTGCTGGCACAGAAAATAAGTTGAGTTCATTATCTGGCCTCGAGCAGCAGTACCAGCAACTGCAGAAGATGTACACAAACTGCGAGATTGTGATGGGCAACTTGGAGATCACAAACATCAATGCTAACCGCAACCTCACGTTCCTGAGGGTAGGGACAAAAAGCCATCCTCTGTAAATGGCAGATTAACTCGGGCATTTTGCATATTTGACTTGTAACATGTCTTGTGTGTACCCATCATATTGGTGCTCACTGAACTGCACTGCTCCCTGTCAGACAACACCTTACATTTAAAATCCTGATTCTTACTTCCGAATATGTCCTTGGATTCACTTCTCCCCTATCTCTAGAACCTCCTACAACCCTCTGACATATCTGCACTTCACGAATTCTGGCTTCTTTAGTATTCCTGACTTAAATTGCTCTAACATTGGTGGCCATGCCTTTGGCTGCCTGGGACCTAAGCTTTGAAAACTCCATCCCTAAGCCTCTTGGTGCCTCTCTCTTCCTTTTAAGAAGTCCCTTAAAACCTACCTCTTGAATCAAGCTTTAGATCGTATGTCCAAATGTCTCCTCATGTGGTTTGATGTCAAAGTTTTATTGATGATGTTCTGAAATGCTTGGGATGTTTTCTCTGTTAAAGACACTCTATTATATAAATGCAATTTGTTCACAATCTAAGTAATCTCTATTTAACCTTTGTTGGCCTTAATGAATTTTGGTTCATATTCACAAGTGTTCATTGTTTCTGAGACAATCACGATCGTTGGTGATCTTTTTCTTGATTTCATCATTCAGTTGCTTTCACCAATACAAACTCGTTGTGTATTTTCAGGGTTAATGGTGTGATTATTTGTATCGAAGATCTGTTGAATGTTAGTCACATGTGTGACATCTCTTACCTTTATTGATTCCCACTTGCATCGACGATTCTCAGCTCAATGGCTTCGATCCTGAAATCCTGAAAAGCAGAACGGAAAGATATGCTTAATTCTGTGAATGGAAGATTCTGTTTGAAGTATACCAGTAACTTTTATCAACGTGAACTGCCACTGGAGAAACCCAGGCTTGAGAAGTCTTTTTGGTTAACTAACACCAGTCTGAAAGTAAATTGGTTAAGATGTTCTGAATTTGAATTCAGATGATTTCGGCTCCAATCTGACTGTCAGAGGCAGGACAATCATAGTGTTGGCAAGGTCATAAAAACTGTTGAACTAGGACATGAAACTCTTTGCTGGTCACAGAAATTAGTTTTCTGTCCTTGAACAAGATTGAGAAAAACACACAGGTTGCTGAACGATGACCCCATTCTCCATGTCCCCACTTGTTCCAACCTCTAAAACATAACCTCCACAGTCACCCCATCCAAGATCAGATATAAGAAATGATTACTTGGGAAGAGGTTGGGTACCAGAAGTTTACCAGCATATATGAAACCTAACCCCAGCATGTCACAGTCTTGAGGGGTGAGAAAAAAATAAAGGTTGAATAAAACCCCAAGATATCTGTAACTTCTGCCCTCTTCGCACTACCCCTATATTTATACTTACAGTAGCACAGCCAAAAATATCCAGCCAATAAACATTTCTAAGGATATCATAAGCACAGTTCCTTTGACAATTTTCACTAGACTCATGTGGTTTGGACAATTTACTTCATGCCTATTCTTCAAAATTGACAACCAACTGAAGGAAGCCGAAATGCAAATGTCAATCAAGACTGCCCTTCACGTGACAGCCTAGCAATCTGTTGGCGTTACACCTGTTTTGGAGTTTAAAGTGTGCACCTGATCATCCAATATGGCAGGTGCCACATGTGTGTTCCTCCACAACGGAAGTGCCCACTGGGTCAGGTTACTCTCAGAAAACAACTAGGCCTGAGCCAGAACCACAACATGGTTGCTCAAATACTTGTACGAGGCCCCAATGTTTGTTGGAGGACCTGTTTGTGAATTGGTTTGTCCAATGCCTAACGCATAATGTGGTAAACTTGCTCAGTAATTCATGGTATTGATAGACAGCAGCAAGAGAGACACAGAAGTGGTTTCTAGTAGCAGTTATCAGTATGTCATGGGGAAAAATTTAAGAAGGACCTGAGGGGCAACTTCTTCACACAGAGAATTGTGCATATATGGAATGGGCTGCCAGAGAAAGTGGTTGAGGCAGGTACAATAGCAACATTTAAAAAACATTTGGATAGGTACATGGATGAGAAGGGTTTAGAGGGATATGAACCAAATGCAGGCAATTGGAACTAGCTGCATCGACCAGTTTGGGCTGAAGGGCCTGTTTCCATGCTGTATTACTCTATGACTCTAAGATATAGGAGCAGAATTAGGCCATTTGACCCATTGAGTCTGCTCTGCCATTTGATCACGGCTGATATGCTTCTCAACCCCATTCTCCTACCTTTCTCCATCTCCTGGTGATAGATGATGCCTACAATCAACCCCTCCAATTCAGGGTAAACAAGATCTAACTCCCTCTGGTCAGGTGTTAGTAGCATCAGAAAGGTTATGTGTCCTTTCTGGACCGCCTGCAGCTATTTCTCTCTCACAAGTATTTCACAGTGTGCTCCTTACTGCGAGAGGTAATAGTTGTCTTTAAGAGGTCTTAGTGAAGCTAATTTCCTGCACCACTATCAACTCACCCCAATGGGTAATGCTGGCTGCCACATGGTTCTATTCAGCATGGTTCCTGCAACTCTGCTTTGCACAGCTGAATTTATAGGCCAAGGTGTTTACCTCACTTCCCTAAATCTTTTATTTAATCTTAACCGATGAGGCGTCTATATTTCTTGGCAAACAGTACATTGATTTCTATCCAGGCCTGACTGGATTTTTTTTTTCTGTCTACTGACCAACTATAAGTAAGTTCTTTCTGAGGATTTTGTGGCTCTTGCACTCTATGCAAAAAAAAACGAAACCACTTTGACAAATAAACATGCAAGACACAGACATTCATTATTAGATTGAATCAAATGAGAGCTGCGTTTCTCTTCTTTCTGTCAGTCATGTGACTGATTTTGAGCTTAATCGTTGAGTGGGTTATGATATGTTCATTCCTAGGACAGTGATTCCTGCTGCCGTACTGTTCTGTGGGCCAAGTAACACAAGTGGCCCTTACAGTAGAGTAGTTAGAGTGGGCACTTCAGGTCTGTTGATATCCCAGGATTAATCAGTGCCCAGGGTGATCTGATCTGGTCCTGTCTGTGCTCGCCAGTCCATCTCTTAAAATAAATGCTGACAAGCACAGAATTGGAAAACCCCAGGCAAGTCCTTGAGAAAAGCGTGGAAAATTCGGGAGTGGGTTTTGGAGTGGGAAGGGGGATGCTGAAGAGGAGCGAGATCCTCTTACATTTGTTTTTAAAAGATGCATTTATTTTGTCAAGGCAAGAGTTCCCTATTTTTAAACTTTACATCACACCAGCTGGACTGAGAGGACTTCAAGGTCATCACATGCAAAGTCGATACGCACAGCACGGAGGCTATCCATCCACAACAGGCTTCTCTGCAGCTGTCAATCTTCACTCAGAATTTGCAGTGATCATGATCTTGGTTAATCCAGAATCAGCGCCTGCTGCTGACTCGTGAATGCTTCCCGACTCTGCAGATCTTTGTGGCTGTTCCTAATGGGTTAGCCCAGACACTGTATGGCTGCAGACTATTTGGCTATGGATAGGATCACACCTGCCCTATCCTTTCTTCACCCAGCATCCACACATGTGCTTTCTCTAGTGGGGATTACGAGAGACAGAGCTGCTGTTCAATAATTATTTCTTTCCACAAGGGCTACTGTGGTAATTTATAATTCCTAACAATTGCCCATGCAGAGATCAGCTCACTCCACACTCTTGATCTGTGTGACTCAGTGCTTTGCTAGGAGGTGCATTTACAAAGCCAGCAAAAGGACAGAGAGATGGCATTGCATTTATGTCATAGAGTCATAGAGATATACAGAATGGAAACAGAACATTTGGTCCAACTTGTCCATGCCAACCAGATATTCTAAATAGATCTAGTCCCTTTTGCCAGCATTTGGCCCATATCCCTCTAAACCCTTCCTATTCCCATACCCATTCAGATGCCTTTTAAATGTTGAATTGTACCAGCTTCCACCACTTCCTCTGGCAGCTCACTCCATACACGCACCACCCTCTGTGTGAAAAAGTTTCCCCTCAGGTCCCTTTTAAATCTTTCCCCTCTCACCTTAAACCTATGCCCTCTAGTTTTGGACACACCCACCCCGGGAAAAGAACTGTCTATTCACCCTGTCCATACCCCTCATGAGTTTATAAACCTCTGTAAGGTCACCCCTCGGTCTCCAACGCTCCAGGGAAAATAGCCCCAGCCTATTCAGCCTCTCACTAAAGCTCAAACCCTCCAACCCTGGCAACATCCTTGCAAATCTTTTCTGAACCATTTCAAGTTTTATGTAATGCTTGTCAGAGCCACTGGATGTCTTAAAGCACTTTACATCCAATAAAGTACTTGAGAAATACACTTAAGGTTGCAATGTAGAAAATGCAGAAACCAAGTTGTGCACAGCAAACTCCCACAAACAGCAATATGATAATGACCAGATCATCTGTTTTAGTGATGTTGGTTCAGGGATTAATCTAAACCTGGACACAAAGGAAAACTCTGTTGCTCTTTTTAATAATAGTACTCTGGGATCTTTCATGTCCACCAAAGCAAGTAGGTGAGGCCTGTGTTTAAAATCTTGTCCAAAAGCCTTATATGCACTAAAGAAAGACTTACATTTATATTATGCATTTCATGACCTCAGTATGTCCCAAAGCATTTTATAGCCAATGAAATAATTTTGAAATGTAGTCATTATTGCAAGAGAAGCGTAGTCATTATTGCAAGTGAAGTACTGCTCCTAGAAATCCAAAATACTTCTTGTTACAACCAGATCCTGGGTGAGGTTCCCTAACTTGTTACAGTTGCAGACAGAATATCCCAAATTGTTAAACTCTCAGGTGAGGAGGGATGTACTAGCTCTCCTCCTTTTATTAATAATGCAATTTCTATCTGCATGATCTTCATTTCATGTACTTTACATCCACTGTTTTGTAAAATAAATGAGAAAATTCCTTCTATTCCCTGAAGGAATTTCTTGAGACTCTTTTCCCTGGACCGGATATTCCAATGGCTGGATAATCGTTGAGCAGTGCAGACTGGAATTGTGAGTCAGGACCCTCCAGAACCCAAACACAAGCAGGCGTCTTGGGAATTGCCTCAAAATTCAAGATTCTGATGGGCAAGTCTCATGTATCTTGGGGGAGAAAAACCCCTAAATTTGGAG